AATGGTTACACTAACGGCATACTTTATCGTGAAAGCGTTCGCAAACGTATTTCATTAAGTTATCGATATATTTCGATAAAAATGCTTTCTACTTCCTCCTACCTGTCATGCTCTTTCGACTACCAGCATTACATTCTGCACTGCGTAGTCCAGTGCAACCTCGACCATCCAACTACCTTCGTCACAAACACACGCACACACACGACAGTTCGACCATCGATTTTGACGATGTCCACCGTGTGCCCTACAACTGTAGAAGCGGTGGGAGCAGGGACGGTGACTTGCGCACGGGTTTATAGTGCAAGTAGTCATGCGCTGCATCTACCTACACTCTCTCCTCATCCCCCGCCTAAGTCCGGTGTCAAGACAAAGTCAAGAAGACCGGAGACTAGGGACCCCGCAGGTGGATGACTCGGACGGATTCTCACCTTGGCGTTCCACCCCACCCCCTCGTTCACACAACAAATAACCCGGATTTTCACCAACACAGCAGAGATTGGAGGCTGTCACGGTCGTCGAGACCGTACCGCCGACGCCAGGCTCGGGTCCGACATTGTCGTAGGAGTGCTATAAGTCCACATTAAGAAGGAGTCATTGCAGCCTGACTCTCAGACACCACTAGTCAAGGCGGAGGTCCAAGTTACCCCGTCAGTTGGCGACCTTCCAAGCCACGGCTTTTAGCGCACCGTGATAGCTTCAAGTGCGTCAGACTGTTTATAGTGAGGAAAGTGTGCTGAGTCGTCGACCTCACTCTCCCTTCCCATTCCCACAACCCAGCCGCTGTCCGAGCCGGTCAGCAGACTGGAGTAGAAAATGAGCGCGGTGGCTGGCAGGATCGACTGACCATGCCTGCATGCGCCACATGCACGACCTGGCCCCCCATACACACAAACACCAGGATTTCACACAACGCGAGTTGAACGGCGTGTCTCTTACTTGCGTGAATGGGCCGTTAAAGGTGCTGTTTCAGCCCTTCTCCCAGCCCACCACTCCGCCACTCAACACAACACAAACACAACGCGTGAACCGAGGGCGGGCGTCAATCAGCAACCTTCCCATCATCGACGCTTGACGTGTCGGGATAGTATTAGACTCAAGTCACCCCTGCAGCCGAAGTCGCATGAGGACCGAGTCGAGATGCGCACTTCCCACTTGCGTGGGAGGTGGCAGTTGTGTGCGTGAGGTGTGGGAGTGTTGATGTGTGGCGGGGTGATGGTGGTGGTGGGAGGTAGGGAGCGTGTGGATGTGTGGTGTTACCGGCGGTTGTCTACCGCAGGTTTTCGTGGATGCGCATGTGACCGAATAGACCCGTGCGGTGCCTGAAAGTGCGGGGACAGTGTGGGCAGTGGAGGCGAGTGCGGTGGGTGTAGTTTCGTGCTCCAGGCACTGGTTCGCCAGTCTCTGTGCGATGGATTCGCAAGTGACCGACGAGGCCAATGTGTGAGGTGAACGTGCGGTCGCAGTGAGGGCAGGTTTAGTCCTGATCCCCATCTCTGGAGCCCAAGGTAGTGGGGGTGGTGTCGGAGGTAGTGTCAGGGTTGGTGATGCGCGAGATGGTCGCCTGAGCGGCCGTCGTTGCAACAGTGTAGGAGGAGGAGGTTTTTAACAAGCTTCTAATCATGAGATATTTTAAGACCCTTCAATGTCCCTGCACACAACATCGTACCTGTCCGTTTTTAAAACCTATTTCTACTCCTTCCTCGATGGCGTAATTTTCTATCAAAGGATTTAAAGAAAGCACATTTTTGTTCGTGGTTTCTGTAACATATATTTGAATTTTCGAAACCATTTAAAATCAATGGAGAGAACGCATGCTACATAATAGTCCTTTTTTATCGAGTACGGTTTCTACAGGAGTTTTGAAATCCGTGTATTCAAAAGCTGACCTCCTGCCAAGTCCGAAATGTTATACGATTATACCGCAAGATAATCAGTATTACGACCCCATCTAAGTAATCTTCCTACTCGAAAACACATTTTAGAATTTTAGTCAACATTTCATGAGATCGCTCACTCATTGTTGATGCCGGTGGCTGTGGCTCATGTTTTATTCTTAACTTCAGCCACTTACCTCTGCCGCCTGATAAAGTCGCCGAAAGATTGCCCTTCGTAGAAGCGTCAAATTCCACGACCAAAGATCCCGGGTTCGTATCTCAACTGCTCCACACTTGGGGTTGGGTATGACTGCCTGATGACGGTTAATAAGGCATAAACGGCCATTCCGGTCTCCCTTGTCTTTGTGAGCTCCATCTCATATATGTCTACTACTAGTCGCTGTGCGACTGCCTGCGGGGGTTCTAGTATGAGCCCCAAGGCACAACGGAACCAGCATGTTCCGTAACCTGATCGGCGAGCGCCCACTGTCATAATTGATAGTCCCGATCACAACCGACAGGACAACGGGCCCGTGACTCAATGGTAGAGCATCAAACTCCATGACCGGGCTCGAATCTCAAGTGATCCACAATTGGGTTTGGGTATGACTGGCTGATGACGGCTTATAAGCCAGAAATGGCCATTCCGGTCTCCCTTGTCTTTTTCGGCTTCATCTCGTTAAATACAGTGTTCCGCTTTTTAGAAATTCCCATTTATTTTGAAAAGCGCAATATCCCGAAAGCGTCAGAAATGGTTCAAATTTAGTGAACTTCGTTTATAAATGCATAGACTGTATTCTCATGCTAAAATGGTAAATGTGAATGTATACTCAACACGACGTCCAATAACAGTGTTTTTGTGAAGTTTACATCTAAAATCATTTAATAATTAGAGTGATTTCATATATGACTGTTTCTCAACGGCCTACAATCTAAGTTAAATTTGAAAACAGTTTAGAAGCGAGTAGTGTGCATCTTGGCGCTTTTGAAATAAATGCGATGGGGTTTAGCAAGAGAAGCTGGAATTTGCTTGATTTCAACGATGCGGACGTCGTAGGAACAAAAGAGTGCTTAAGGTGTCACGCCATGAGGCCGGTCGGTGCCTAATACATTATAATAGAACTGACAGGCGTGATCGTAAACATTCTATTTTCTGCTTAGAGAGAGAACTTTTATTCCGTTTAATTAATTTACGCTGTATGTTCTTTTGATTGCGTTGAGTTTCAAATCGGCATCCAAATGTTGCTGCATACTTCAGTATTTTCAGTGTTTTGGCCGGATTGCATATAAAGACAGATTCTGAATGACCTGTCTGTTGAGAACATTAAATTAAGATTGCTCTCGAAGGCATTTACCGATCTACTGAGTATTCAGGCGCTCCCTTACACTAAGATGGTCATTTTGGTCACATATGCAGACTGATTCAAACGCTACAACAAAAGTCAGCAGCCAATATGCCTTCGTTGACTGATATCTATTTAGTTTGCACTTTTGCACGGTGAGGCCAGGTAAAAATTTGACACTTTTGGCTGTTTCTTTTGCCTTCCTAAGAAATACTAATATTGTTCTACCGAAATCTAAGAACATAACTTTCGCTATACATTGAGGCCATTTCCGCTGTTTTGCTCGCTTCCAGGCTCCGTTCTTCCATAATGAACGCATGGCAGAGCGCCCATATAAATACTGATATTTTGCTGAAACTGTTAATGTTTTTTCGTTCTATTTCTGAATAAAATATGCACAGAAGCTACACTTCACGATAAATAGTGTTTTATAAGCTTAAAGCTGGAAATGATCCTTTGTTGGTTGTCATTTATGTGATTTCAGGTAGAATTTCCCAAACGGCAAAATATTTTCAGCCCAGATAAACAAAGGAAACGCTATCTGCGTTTTAACTACGCTTTCGGGCATTAAATCGCACAGATCTACTAATTAGACATTTAGAAATTGATAAAAACTCTGGTTTCCTCACAATAGCGTCTGTGTTAGCAGGTTGGTCACTATGGTTATCATCGGACGTAAAATACATTTTCAAGTTGAGATAAATCTGTTTATAAAAACTCTCGCGGGTAAATTACTGTCCTTTCAATGTAAAAGTGGCTCAGATGCCTAACCAGCTTCTGGGACATGCATTAGCATAGAAATTGTACGAATATATTCCACCGTCAATTTTTGCTAAAATTTACAGATATCTTACTTGATATAAATACGTAAACACAATTTCTGCACAAGGAAATTTTATTGAAGGAAATTGATAAGCGAAAAAAATGTTCAACGATAAAGAGGCTTTGAGGTATAAAATAAATGTGCTGGTCAGGAAAGTCATTTTGACATGCCTTACTTTTGTCCAGTTGGCAGTAGACTGAAACAAGCAACCGTCTAGGTGGCATTCCAGAAAATAAAAGGAGTGCATCGTAGAACTTGTTAATATCCCATTTATTACTGTCTATAGATTGAATAGCTTGTTCGATACAACTGTTTTAGGTTAGGCGTGAAATTTGACATAAATATTTCGACAGAAAGCCATCATCTTAAGCAGAATAACCGTGGAGTGTTCTCTACCTGTCACGACACAGTCAGTAACATGCCACACTTCGACCGTCGTTTATGACGGTAGCCGCCGTATGCTTCACAGTCAGCGTTGGAACAAGAACGGCGACTATCACTTTAAAGTTATACTTGACTTTCGCTGCATCTAACGCACTCCCTCCCTCTTCCTCTTCGGGGTCCGATGTCCAAACCGTGCCAATAAGACAGCTACCACGATGAAATGCCTACGTGTACCACCACACCCCCGGTCCACAATACACACTGACAAGGATTCCATGCACCAATAAAAAGACGAGTGGCGGCTTGGATAGCAATTGGTCTGCGCTAGGTTGTGCCACGACTCCCACATTGTTGGCATTTATTTTGGGTGTGGATCCCCGATAACGCCTGCCGGGCTCCTACCAAACGCCCGTGCTTGTCCAGCGCATCGACAGCGTAACCCTTTTCCGGGGCAACAGTAGCATAAAAACATTGCATGATTCGCCATCCTGAGAGTGTGCGCATTAGCTAAAAGCCCAGACAAATATTTCTCGAAAATTCGGTTCTCGCTTCCACCAGTGGGCCCATAATGTTCCCATGTACTTCTTTCTGGTATGCACCTCATGTATTCGGTCTCGCGTCCAACAGGCTTGTATCCTGTCACTCATACTATTTAACTACGCTGTTTACTGGATTCTCTGGAGGGCCCTACGCGACAGTGACGGCGTTGAGTTTTCACCTGGACATCGACTGACTGATCGTGACTATGCCGATGATATCGCCTTACTTGCTTCAAAATTTGGTGATCTGCAGTCTATGGTGTCATGGGTGAACGAGGTCGCTATATCGGTCGGCTTATCCATAAACGCTGGGAAAACCAAAGTGTTTTCAAGCTGCATCCCTGACGTTGAGAAGGCACCCCTCGGGATTAATGGCTGTCAACTTGAAGAAGTAGACAGTTTGAACTACCTTGGTGCGAGGCTGCCGCCTAATGGACAGAGTAAGGACGACATTGTCTGCCGAATCGATGCTGCCCGCTGGGTTATTCAAGCCTTCGGAAATACCTGTGGAACCGACGTGACCTATCTATCGCCATTAAGATTCGCGTGTACCGTGCACCTGTCCGGTCTGTCCTTCTCGACGGTTGTGAATGCTGCCCCTTGCGCGTGGAGGACGAGCGAAAACTGGAGGTATTTAACCACCACTGCTTGAGGACTATCCTTCGAGTGAAGTTCACCGACTTCGTCTCAAATGAGACAGTCCGCGCTCGCTGCGACAACATCGCAAGGATAACTCAGGCCATCCAAGAAAGACGACTCAAGTGGTTAGGGCATATTCTTCGTCGTCCGCATCAGGAGCTCACTGTTACTGCCCTCGATCGGGCACAGTTGCCCAATTGGAGGCGTCGAAGAGGTGCCTAGTTCAAAACCTGACTCGATACAGTTCATCAAGACATGGAGGTGGTTCTTGGACCTTCGGTATTCGGTCTCCGTCGTTGGCAAAGGGAATGGGTTGAGCTGTCCAGATCTGCTGCCGCGCATTTTTCACGCGTGGAGAGGTACAGTTCGGGACATCATCAAGGCCGGCTAGATCAGGCATGATCGCAGCCGTATCAAGTAAAAGTTAGTAATACTCCAGCTTTTAATGCTAATCATTTCTCAGAAACGAATATAAGGATTTGGGAGTAGATTCTTCGTAACAAAACTCAGTCCGAAAGTCGATATGAGTATTTGGGCTTCAGCGAGACAGTCACGTAACATTGAAAAGTTCACATCAGGCAGCCAGCGGAATATAACTACTATTTGATTCACCATAAACCCAGCATGGGTGTTAGAGGAAAGCCCAGACAGGTGGATTGTGTGCACCAAAATAGTCTTTAAATGTGAAGATAATCATATAAATGTCTTAGGGAATAAAATGTTAACCGAAATCCCGAAATTAATTTTCGTCTCAATAAAGATTACTTGAGTCGAATTGTTATACTAATTACCGTGCAGCATAATCCCTGGAAACTTTACTTATTTCAGGGAGCCGGCTTTTAAATGAACTTCTTTCCGGCCGCCTACAAATGCTGCACTCTGTAAAAAAGGATTGCTTAATGTGCATTAATTTGCCTCAATTATTTTCCGTGCCCTTATAAATCAGAATATATTTTATGGAAAACATGCATAAAACTATTCATTATTTTTGTTAATTAAGCGGGAAATTACGTCTTCCTTAAACTTCATACTTGGCGCAAGGGTATAATTCGGTTTTAAAAAAAACGTTCGCGATTCCCGATTAAATTCGAACCCGGTCTACCGTCGCACTTGCATTCAGGGTTTTTAAACTACAATCTGTATATTTTCCGTGCACGGCAAAGCATACCTTTCTATATCCTACTAAGAGGAGACCGTATTCGGTCCGCGGATTTGTGCGCTATTGCAAACATTACAAGCAACGCTGGTAGATGCAGAGACGCGATGTTTTATGAAAGGACATTTAACGATCTTCGAAGTCGCATAATGAGAAACTTTTTGAAACCGACGCATGTCATTCTGTCCAGTATTAAAATTAACGAAGAGATAATGTTCTGCCAAACGAGTAAAGAAATGATTAGTTTTATACGAGTTTTCTCTTACTTATAATTAAATTTATAAGGGCATCGAAAATTAATGAGAAGCTCGTGTGCTACTTAATTGTTCGCTTTTTACAGAGTATCTTCTCATAGTGGTAGAAAAATGTTCATTCAAAAACCAGCATTCTGAAGTTTCTAAAATATCTGACAGTTATACTGCATGGGAATTAATATCACAACCCTATCCAAGTAATCGTTCCAAGTCAAACACGCATTTCAGAATTAAGATTAACATTTCATTAGTTAGCACATTTCATGCACCAGTGAATGTTACTTGCCGACTGAAAACCTTTTCAACCGCATACGTTGATCTCACACCTTAAAGCATCATTGCTCCCCCGTCTGTCGCCTAGTAATGTTTACTGATCAAACCTTAATTTAAGACGCAGTACAGGCATCTGACTTCGTCTTGGAGACCCGGACTTATTTCTTTTTGAATAGAAAGTCGCAAGACAAAATCAAAGGGCATAGACTGAGCACCGGTGGTTCAGCTAAGTTTTCACCCGTGAGTGAAGTCAAGCGGCGGTCCGCAGTCCAAAGTCGGCGCCTCAAAGTACGCACAGTAGGTAGGCCAACTCATGCAATTTCAACCGAAATTCCGAGATGTGTTTTCGTTTCCAAAAGATAATTTAAACAAGGTGGTAAAACTAATCATCATGCAGCACAATTCTATCGCAATTCAGTTACCTAAGGCTGCCCGCTTTCGAAAGGACTTTCTTACAACTGCATGCAGGAACCATACACCGTAAAATATGACTACTTTAGCAGCATGCATTCTTCTTATTGATTTTCTATGCCCTTAAAAATTCAATTAAATTTCATAGAAAACATGCATAAAGATATTCCGTATTTATCTCATTCGGTAGAAAATCACGTCCTCTTCCAATTTTGTTTTTGATAGAAGAGTATAAATTGGTCTTTTAGAACTTTTCAAATTTCCGAATAATTTTAAACCCCAATTGCCGTTACACTTGCACCCAGGGTTTCCAAACTACAAGTTTTTTATTTTCCGTGTACGGAAAATCATAGATTTATTTACGGTAGTAAGCGGAGACCATATGGGATACATAAAATTTAGCGGTGGACTTGAGCCATATTATTAACTTTATAAGCCACATTGGCAAAGGCAGAGACATGAAGTATATGAACGGCCATTTAAAGGGATTAAAAAATCTCATCATTATGAAACATTTTTAAAACCGAATAATACCTTTTCTTCAAGTATAAAATTGAAAAAAGATGCCATTTCCTACTGAATGAGCAAAATAATGAATGTTTTATGTTAGGTATCCATGAAATAAAATTGAATTTTCGGGAGTAACGAAAATCATTGGGAAAAAATCATACTTAATAAGTAGTCATTTCTCGCTGAGTATCGATTTTCCACGCAGTTAGTAAGTGTAGACTTGACCTGCATCAAGCTTCCCAATTACCACCCCCACATCCACTCACATAACCCGGTACCATCATATATGTGTTTATACTACTCGTAATTAGTAAGTAACCATTAATGATTACTCTTTTTCGGCTAGCTGCCAGCTGTCCGCGAGTATGTACAAAATCCCTTTTTCACCTTCCCATATATCAATGTTTTTCTCCGACAACTTGTAACCAAGAGGAAATTCAAAGGCGCTTGCCTATATTTCCCTTAATAAACTGATACTGATACTGAAAGCTGGCATACTGTGGTACTTCACTAATTGTAGAATCAAGCGGCATGATCATTAAATTTAAAATTCTACCTAACTAATCTTTTCAAGTCGAAAACGCAGTTCAGAATTTCCGTCGACATTTCATGAGTTAGCCCACCCACTGCATGTCTCATAACTTAAGATAAAGCTTTACTTTTAAAGACGTTATAACTACTGGCCGGTGCGTTTTTCTACCTGAGACGGAAATTTCACTTCGCTTCTTATCTAAACGAAACCTTCGCTGCAGTAGGTTCCTGCAAAAGAAAGTTTTCCTCTAATGTCTACTTTACATAATACTAAAGATAAAATATCTGACGTTTGCGGAAAAACCCAGATATCAACGTCAGCAGTCCACTTTTGCGAACTTTCAAACCTTGCAGGAGTACGTTTTCAGTGACAATGAAGTATGGTCTTTGTCTTGTCTCACAGTGTCGGCTAGGGGCGAAAATATGCCAACTATCAGTGATAGCGCAATGCGTGGTGTGACATAAGCAAATGGGTGTGGTTGAATATATGAACTTCATCGCCGCAATCGTTAGGGCGACATCCCGTCATTCAGACATCACGGTCTCACTCGCAGACGACGCCATCCCGTTTCTAGTCGTAGGCCCACGCAATTACGAAAGTCGCTCGACCTTTGCTATTCCTTCACTGACACTATTGAGGACGGGGAGAGTAAGGTGGATCAGGCAGGCGTGCTGACGAAGCGCCCACTTCTATACGAGTTGCAGCACTACCACGGCACACGGTAAAAAAAATCAACATTTTTTTCACTTATCAACTGTGCAAATATGTCTGACAAGGTTTTGGCAAATGCGTTTGGCACTAAAAGTTCATATTGCCCTTCCCTGACCCTAAGGCAGTCTAGAAACTGAAACATCCTTGGAGGAACACCCGTTAGCAATTAGCAGTCCACTTGGTGTTTAAAAGACTTTGAAAATTAATAGACTGTGAACTCGCCTCCAGAAAATGTCTCATCTGCTCACTCGAGGGGAACCGTTTGCCATTGGCCTTCCATGGGGTTCATCGTGGACTCGGGGCGCACTTCCTCTCCTCAGAATAGTAGCGCCGAGACAGATGACCCTGATAACATCGTTGTATATGGATAGCAGCAGGCTCACGTTTTTAGGGCGGTTCTGATACTACCGAAACGATGACGTTCGTGTCATCCACTAAAACCAGGCCTGAAGGGGATGGATAAGTAGAGAATAGGAGGCAGATACGTTTCGCATAATCCCTTTTTTAGTGACCCAGTTTCAAGATGACTATTATACGAATACAAAATTCACCCCAGGAGCTGTCTTTTCCAGCAGTCAAACAAACCCCGGCCACCTGTAAGACAGGGCCGGTGGTAATAGGGATTTTTACAGGTGGGGCCGGGGAACGCACAGCCGACGACGTCAAGTAGTTTTCTGCAAAAAAAAGCTACTCGGAATACACCGTTTAAACGTTGAATTGTTTAGAAATAGTTGCCCTAACCTCTAACCCTTACTTCTAACCCTAACCCCTAACCCAAAAAATGACACCTAATCATAACCCTTAACCCCAAGGCCTAACAGCCTAACCCTAAGCCCTAACCCCAACCCCTCACCGCAGTTCTAAGCCCTAACCCTGAAATATACACCGGAAAATGTAGAAGGAGACGGTAGGCCGAAAGTCAAGAAGGACCACTAATATTGGACCGGAGAAGGTAAACATGAGAACAAAGCAACAGGGCCGCCAATGGAACACGCAATCCAACGCGCAGCTGCGCCATCCCAGCGTAATCAAATCAACTGAAAATAATTAAGTAGGTCAACAGTATTGTGTCCATTAGGTGCGGCTATGCAACCAGATCTTACCGAAATGCTGCGTTGTATCGCATAAAAATATGCCAGGTCTAATACATTTCCATGTATGTGTGATGTCGCGTATGTCCAACGAATTAGTTCTCGCGGTTATTCCTGCAAAAATTGTTATTGGTTAAACGCATTTTCTGATAAATGGTTTAAACTAGCCTAGAACATCATGATCTGTGCAGATGCCTTCGGTTGCGTTAACGAAGAGGAATAAGCTGTAAACAGTAGTTGTTAAATGTGCTATTATTATAATCCTTTAAAGCGCGACAATGGGAACGGAGCGCAATGTAAATTTTACTCTCATTATGTTTAGGCGACTTTTGGGGAGGCTGTTCTTAAGTCAATTTTTGTACAAAGGTACATTAAATATACGTCGGGTCTTTTTATGTAAAAAGTTAATGACCAGTATAAGGGGTGAACTATATGTGACTAAATGGAGCACTGAAATATGCTTTGACGTTGAAAGCTAGGGTGAACAGTTAGTGAGCTTCGGTCACTTGCGATAGATTCTGCTTATCAAGCCTCCGCTGACATAATAACAGTGGTTAACCCAACTCATAACCACTGCAAGCCTGCCACTTTATTAGTAAGATCCCTTCAATTCACTTTGAATCATAACCAGAAGCTACAACTAGAGGGCTAAACCAGAGTTATCTGCTGTACTCTGAAGTCTGCTGTGGTCAATTTCTCACCAAAATAAATCTACGTGGCTTAAATCTGAGAGGGACGCGTTTGGATTGCTGACAACTGGCGGAATATTTAAATCCTCCTCAGGATTGATAATTAGGCTTTAATGTGTTTTTCTCTTAACGTGACCACCGACAGCCTCACGCATGTGCGATGCCTTATGCACATCCTCTGTTAGGTAAAACTTGCTGACTGTTCTATTGGGTGGAGTGTGATCACAAGTTTTAATGGAATTGCATTTGACCCAATGGGCCGTCCGTAGTGGCTGCTGCGTATGCAGCAGCTGATGAAATTTTTTGGATAGTTGTCCCTTACCAACTGGTCTCTCAGATGCCTTAGTTCATGTATTCTTCCGCCACGGCCGCTGTAGTGCGATTGTACCCTAACGGAGTCCCGTCTGCACATCATCAGGTTGTTGTTATGATGGCTGCGAACCTGAGCTATGCTATTCTCATTTCTGCCCATTGTGGTATTGAGTCTATAATCAGATTTGCGCGTGACGAGCACACCAATTAAGGCTAAATCCTCGGCCTATTGTTCTTCTCGTGTAAAGTGATTGTCGGCGAAGATGCCGTTAAGCAGGTTTGGAAAACCCGTGAACCATTTACTCAGCATATCGGCGCCAAATCCCATGTTGGCAGTGGTTGAAGTGAGATTTGCCAGCTCGTAGGGAATCAATTCCGCATCTTAGCTGAATATTGGGAAGCCAGTGGGTGTTCCTTTGGAAAGGATAAAGTATATGTCCAGTGCATGTGCAAGTGCCCAATGCGGATGCAAGTACATTGGGCGAACGCAAAGGCAATTGGCAACCAGGGCCGCTGAGCATTTGCCTAATTGTCTTTTCAAACAGGAAAATAGAACCCCAGTTCGTCCTTAACGAAACACCTGTTAGATAGCGGTCATGTTGTCGACCCTAAAGCATCCTTTCGAGTACTTGTCCGAGCACGTACAAATCGAACCTTGCGTTATTTGGAAGCAGCCTACATACGGAGGGAGAAACCAGATCTGTGCAAGCAGTTAGATCACGTGATCAATCTGCAATTGCCTAGGTAATCGCACGTCTCTATCTTCCTCTGACTGTGATTTGTTGTTAACATTTCGTCTTCCCCTTTTTTCCTTTTTGATGCTTATGTGGACGTCTTATCTGATTATTGATTATTTTGAACTTTGACCTTGCTCCTATGCACTGTCATTCTGTACAAAATCATACTGCTGTGCGCTTTCATTCGTTTACCTATGTTATGCAGAGACGGGTTGCAGTTGAAAAGCCGTCACGAAATTTTTTGGCCCCAATAAATTCTGCTGTGCATGCTTGTTTTCAATTCGAAACAACAGTAGTTTTTTTTTCATGTCGACATTTAGATTGCCTTTCCATCGATGTCCGGCGGAATGTTTCGCGATCAACATTCCGTTGTCCTCACAGAGATGGCCTCTGGCAAACTACGTCAAATGGTGTACGTGGGTTACTCCGAATTCAAGCCCATTCGAGAGGGACGCCGAATCATATTACGGAAGTAACTTACCAACATGGGGTTGAAATTCGCCCAATCAGATAGTGACCTGGAGTAGCTGGTATTCCCACTAGACTTCTGATTCATCCAACTGGCAGGGTAGGCCTCCAATCATTTTAGACGACTGGCGTCACACAGCACGTGCGCGGCGTCGTAACAGCCGAGGATGTGAACAGAGGCTCGACCTTGGTTGTTTAATCGACACTCATGTTCGTTTTTTTCCTTCAGCGACATTACCTCCAAGGACACGTATCGACGAGTAATCCTTAACCTGTTTCCAACAAGTCGTTGTGTCGTTCTTTTCGATTTACCCCGACTCCCTTGTAGTAGTTGTCCACTTTTTAAGGTCAAAAATAAATTTACATCTTTTGATTATCTGCCCCGTCCTGTATGATGCCCCGCATGCCTGCATCATCCGATCCCGCCCGTTCTAGGACATGAGTACTTCTAGACAGGATTTCTTCCAAACGGCTGGTCCGTCTGAATTCAAGCTGTCATCAACCCCTTCCAATTGCATCCGTCATCCGACGTCGCTCTCTCGCGCAGACGCTGTAGCGCGTGAGCGGATCATTTTAGAGGCATCCAAACACTGTTGCCCCTTTTCTGTCAAGGCTCTCGGGACAACTGCTGTTGACAAGAATTCAGGACGCATCAACAGCGAACCTGCTATAATCGTGTGCGCTTTCAGCTATCTATTCATCGTCGGACCTGTATAGTAGCATAAGAGAGGGTAAAGTACAGACTGATGATACACCGGTCTGGTGTTTAATAATGGAAGGCATGTGTTTGCCGAAATTGGCTTTCTAAATGTCTAAATGGGTATCATCACCGACCTAACGAATACTTGGTGAGTTGCATTGGTATTTTTTTCAAATAAACCTTGACTCATTTGTTCACCTTTGCGTTCGCCCATTGCCCACGGAGCTGGTAATAAGTTAGCGTAGTTGTTTGCAGGAAACCCACGTGAATATCCGCTTCCGTTCAAATAAAGAAACATTGACACAATAAACTTTTGAATGTGAACGTGATGTCAAAATGCCTATCTTAATTTAACTTGTTCCCAGGGCATTTTCCTTGAAATTTAGTTAACCTAATCTGGCACCGACGTTTAAACTGCCACACCACGACTGATGTTTTCAGCAAAACCCGTGACGTGATTGATTTATGCATATTTTCTGATTGGCAACTTCCATGGGCGCAGTGAATGCCTTTATTAGACTTGGCGAATAACGCAACTAGATAGCGGGCGATAAAAAGCTCAACGAATTCTATGAAAGATTATCAGTACTTCGAGCCTCAACTACGATGCTCCAATACGCTTCGTGCCCGAACAGACTTCTGGTTTATTTCCTTTTGACAGTTGGTCTCCTCAACCGTCTCTATATTGCAGGATGGTGGATCGCCATCCATCGGGAGATCCATTCAGGCAGATAAGCAAGCGACTACAAGTCCGACTGGCAACACCTCGTTTACTCGCCTAAGACAAGCAGGTTTGAGTTGTCATTCGTGGCGCATGTTGCGAACGGTGGCCGCGGCATCGGCAGAAGTGCCGACCGTCGCATCCCTAGTCAACAAATCCTGCTGCGTCCTGCACGCCAACAGAACTATACGTTTGCGGAGATGGCCGAGATCGATGATGATAACTGGAGACTCCCGATTCCCAGTTCCGTTTTCATGCTCTACCCACAGGCGCTGGATATGAAACAGGTGGTGGCAAATATAACGAGCTGCCGTCCCATAACAGAGGTACTTGTCGTTTTGTCCTATCTGTCGTATGAGGCGTTTAGTCTACACCCTAAGTGTTATTCAAGTTTTATTTCAACGTAAGTTGCATTCAAACAGATTCGGATCATGTGATTTTGTATATGCGGGTGCTCCTGACTTAATATTCTGATGCGAGTTTACATCATCTGCTTACGCGGTATCCATCGAATGAAGCATTTATACTGCACTTTTTTGACTGCAGTATATTGTCATAGTTGAATCTGACTACCAGTGACCATTAAGTAAATTCAGGGCATCATTCATGTACATAATCGTGCAAGCATAAGCTTAAAGCCATCATCTTGTAGTTCTTGGAGAAGTTGTGCACAATGTCTCATTCCCGGTATCAATTCAATCGAAGATAGGTTTGTCATCCCTCTGCGCATCACAGTCAAGGGTAGGCAGGAAAATACCTGATGAAGTGGCAACAGGTCACTTTTTGCTTTTTTAGAAGTCATAGCTGCTTAACGTACATCAGGCGATTAGCTAGCAGTTATGTCTGAATATATAGCTATATATAGAAGTGTATGACAACTAGACACTGTTTTAAAGGATCAAAGAGATATCATTCTGTTTCTGTCATGCACAAGGGAAATAGTAACTTGGTGCTCTGTTTGCGTATTTTTTGTGCTTCCGGTCCCAACTGCTGGTAAGTCTCCTAAAGAGCAAAGTTTTCTTACAGTAGACAGTTCGACGAATCCCCTCCATCTAACGTTGTCAGTGACGAACTACTTATACGACTGTTCATTTTAACTCATCTTCCACAGTGTACTGTGTCTCATCTGGCTGAGTCGCCTTCTCTCCCTTGTAGAGGCTCCCAAATTTAATCAGACGATCAGATTCTTCAACATTAGCTCGACTGTCTGCGTGCCAGGAAAAGCAGTTAAAGAAGCTCTGGATGCTATAGTAGTGGTTAAGTCAGCCGTCTACAACTTGGCAGTTCGTGATCGTATTCGGAGGACCTATGCCAAAGAAGTTAAGCGTGAACGGGTTTTCCGCATGGCCATGGTCTTCTCCGTAGGACTACCCCGAAGCAGCGGGTGTCGGTACTTTCAGCGTGACGGTTTGCACATCTCACTGTCGGGGCGGGCCGGCGAGTCGCTGGAGAAGATGCGGTATGAAGGTCCGGAAGTTCTCAGAAAACTGGCAGAAGAAGCTCAAGTCAACGGTGACCTCCTACTGGGTGACTACGAGGACACCTACTATAACCTCAGTCTCAAGTTATTCCACACCTTTCAATGGGCCTCTCGTTTCTGTCGTCCACATTTCACTTTCCAACAACGACCTCCTGTCTTCATTCTTCTGGACGATGACTATGCCTTCAATGCTACCATTTTGAAGACTGAACTGAAGGCATTCTCGGACACGCAAATTCGAAGAGTGACCTGGGGCATGCTGCAGATGTGGAGTCCAGTATATCGTCCTCTCGTCTCGCCAGGTTTTGAAAAACGGATCTTCTCTAAACGCCAAATGCCCTGGCCCTACTTCGCGCCTTACGCCTCCGGCGCCTTTCTCGTCATCGGCGCCCACCTTCTTCAGGAAATTGCCTTGGCCATGTACTTCACTCTGCATTTGTCAGTTGACGATACGACTTATTTTTAAGCTTTCAATAAACACATGTTAGTGAATCTGCCTTCCTGTACTATAGGTCAAAAACGTTGGCAGTCACGGAGTATGCAGGAATGTCTCAGGGCCAACCTTAAACTTGCTGTAATCCAGGACAAAGGAAACAGCAAATGCATGTCACGAAGTCAACATTCGAGTGATCCACGCACAATTCTAATAACGATCATTCTTGACAACTGTTATTAAATTTTTTAGCCATTTGCTTCCCTGACCACATGGGCCTTTGTTAACACGCGTATTCCTACGACGTTAATTTCGGCAGCATCAGGCAAATATCTAGTTTTCGATATTGAAATGCATTTCAATCAATTCAGAAGCGTAAAGAAAACACTAAAGCTTTAGGAAACCGTTCTGGGGCCTATGCTCAAAATGTGGAATGTAGGCAAAATATACATCGACTCAGATATAGTATTCAAATGTGAGCCTAACTAAAGGTGACTTTCGGAGACTATCTTATTTGTTCTGTTATATCTACTCCTTGTCATTTATGGGCAGACGTTCTCTGCATGTAAACTGATGTTTACATAATTACAACCATTTTGACGTTTTTTCGATTGTTTTGCTATTGTAACGAATTGGCATTTTTAAACAACATGTATACCTTCAATAATACTTTCCTTTTTCTTTATTCTCCTAAAGTTATTATTTTTTATTCTAAGTTTGGGGTCTATGCGTTGCAGTCGGCTTGCAAGTGATTAGTAATCATTCGTAAATATGGGCACCTTTCATCATCTGAGCAACCTCATGTAGGCTGTTTTGGCATGCTTAATTTGACCCTCTTCAGCTTCACTCATTGCCCTTCGCGCTCGATATAATTGTTAATGTTACATATGATGTTAGAAATTAGCATTGGCATTGGGCATAACCATTGATTTATAGTTATGAAATTAGGTGTTGGCATGTCAATATCTTCAAATTCATTTGCCTTTTCAGTTACGACCATTATGAAGGCCAGATAAAACGATGATTTCATTAGATTTTCTAGTTTAGCCTGACTGTGGATCAAGGGTAGGCGTGGGTTAGCCTGGAATATATAACCACTTCCCGTGTTAGAGATATCTCTGGGATACTCTTCAGATAAACTGGCCAAATTGAAACTACGAGTTCATAGCTAAATACCCTTATCTATCAAGCCCGCTCAGCGACTACACGCCATCTCAGGCATGCTTCAACCCGGAACTGATATAATAGCACAAATGCCACTTTACACATACAGTTGGCTTAAAGACAAATGTATATCATATAAACAGGATAAACTAGGATCTACAAGCAACCGTTACTTGCAGTTATTTTGAAGTAAGGAGGTAGTCTAGGGGTGCAAACAGAACCGAATTTTTTCTAACACCCCTAGGCCATTTGTTGTACATGCGCGGATGAAATTGAAATTCAAGATCTAACTTTGTCATGACAATGCCTAACCAGGCATCGTCCAGTGGAAACTGTAGAGTGAAATACATGGCCAGCGCAATTTCCTGGAGAACATCAGCGCCAATGACGGTAAAACAGCCGGGGGCTAAATGCGGGTAGTAAGGCCAGGGCATCTCACGTTTGGAGACGGACCACTTTTCCCAGCGCTTTGAATCCAAATGCCGAACTGCTGGTGAGTGATTACGCGGCAAGCCCCAAATCACTCGTCGTATCTGCGCGTCCGTGAGGGCCCCCAATTCGACCTTCATACGCCTTGCATTGAAAGCAAAATCATCATCTAGGAAGATAAAGACAGGAGGTCGTTGTTGGGAGGTGAAATGCGGCCGACAGAAGCTAGAGGCCCATTGGTACGTGTGGAATAATTTGAGGCTGAGGTTATAGTAGGTGTCCTCGTAGTCACACAGTACAAGGTCACCGTTGAGTCGGGCTTCTTCTGTCAGATTTCTCAGAACTTCTGTCCTCTTTGTTTGCATCTCCTCCATGGCCTCACCTGCTCTATCTGGCAGTGAGATGTTAAAGCCGTCACGTTGGAAGAACCGACCTCCGCTGCTGCGTGGTAGTCCCACGGAGAAGACCATAGCCATGCGGAATTCAGGCTCACGCTGTTTTTCCTTACCAAAAGCATTCCGTAAACGATTACGATCTGCAAAATTGTAGGCAGCGGACTTGACGATCACAATAGCATCCAGATTCCTTTCGACTGGTTTTCCCGGCACGCAGACGGTGGAGCTGACTTTCAGGAATCTGATTGTCTGATTGAATATTGGTGCCTGTAACGAAGGAGGAGGCGATTCAGCTAAATGATTGGTCATTCGCTTGTACTACTTGATTTGTAACAAGTAGTCGCTAGACCCGTTTTTGCAGGCATTACGTCTACGTTAAATATTGAAATTAGTTATGGCTGGCCGATGGTGGCCAGTCAGTCAGAAATTGTCATTACGTTGCCCATATCCTCATGGCTATCGTTTGTCTGCAAATGGTGACTGAGCCCGAAATCTAAGTTTGACCTTCTGGCTTCGACAGACGTCCCACGGATTTTAAATGGCACGTAAAGCACATGATGTATCGTTCAGATTGGTGATATCAATCCCAGTAGTCTATTTCAGAAGGCGATTCGCCGTACTTGCCACACGTTTTTTTGTTGGAATAGCAGTCTAGTCTAGCTCTACATTTTTATCTGCTGATTGTTTAACACTTGAAGTCATGCACCTTTTTTCCAGCTCCGCTTCATCTCCCAGTGCGTCAAAAACACTTGCAGAACCTCTGCTGTCTGAAGGGGATAACCAGCGGAAAATTGGGATGTTGGAATCTGTTACTTATTCGGTGCGTTCGCGCGGTCAGGTTTCGTTGACCGAAACACTCAGTCAGTGGCAGTCAGTGAACTCACACGAAGCATGCATCAACCGACATATCGGTCTAGATGTCACATACAAAATCGTTAAGGACAAATTGAAAGTGGCGGAATCAATCCAGAGGGGATGACGAATTGCAATTAACACACATTGGCTCAGATTTAAGCCAATCATATAATCATTTGCCACAATCAGTTTAGAAGTTATTTGTTTTTTCACTTTCTCATTCTGAATACGAGCTGGGGAACCAGTGTCGAAAGTTAACAAAGTAAGGATTTCTGTTTACCAAAGAACTCCATCCTTCGTAGTAAATTTCTTGGGATGCAAGATTTTCGATTCATATACAGTAGATGGGTTACTTCAGAAAATGCTTTAGCCAACCTACTGTGTATATTCGCCTGGGACCATTAATTTTGCTATCTGCGTTCCACCGTTCCCTTTAAAACTAGATGTGACCGAACGAAAAGAAACGATAAAACGTTTCCGCACATTTCTACATCATGTACGTTCCCGTATGACAGGAGAATCTTAAGTGTAAACACTATTTGTAATTTTGAAAACCAAGCCAAATGTAAAAAACCACCCCATTGCCTGATGCAAGGTCGATTGTGCTGATTTTCGAATAATTGTCCAAATTTACAGGTTGCCAACATATCGAGAGACATTCCAGGTTACTCTGACTCCAGTTCCGGCTGGCCGTCTTTATTTGATATTAGTATATGATATATCGATATCAAAATATGCGCTTATTTTACGAAGGCCAGCTTTTTTTAAAGAAATGCCACCTTATCTTTATTTTATTAATACTCCTTCATTTTAAGGACAAAAATGGGAATTCGATTCTAATTTATCCGACTCTACCATCCCACGATAGAATTCGGAGCATTTCTTCAAAAGGAGTAATCTAGTTCGATGTCACATTACTAACTGAAAGGCGGTATCACTGCTAACTACTCCATGAAGGTCATGGTGTTGGACTTTTGCTGGACATATATCCAACCGCATATCTGTGCCAAACATTCAATTGAGCGTTAATTAATTGGTCATTTTATCAGACATTTAATTAAGTTAGATCGTTTGCTTATAATGCTATTGTTAACCCAATGTATTTCTTACCTTCTCCGTGGACAACGCTAAGATTTATTTCGTTTTATTTTGTAAATCTGATTAAAGATCATTCACTTTACGAAATTGTCTGCATTTAAAACTCTCAGTCCCCTGCGCTGAACGTTTCAAAACCGGCATTTAATAACTCTTCAACGTCATACTGCTTTGCAACTTTGAGTCACTAACAAGAAACCATCTTGTGACCATCGTGCGGCGCGCAACCAACTCTACAGACAGCATGAGGAATCCAGGTAAAGTTACAAAATATCAACACTTCCGATAACGTCTTAAAAAACACTCCTACGTAGGAATAATATAAGGTCAGGTTAAACCGTTAATGAAGCTGTAATTTAAAAGAAGACGTAGCTTAAAAACCAAACGTGCACATGCATCAGGCAACAATACATAAAAAATACGTCTAAGATATATGCTGGTTTTTACCAGTGCAATTCATACGGGCTGGTAAACTCGCATCAGAATATTAAGTCAGGAGCACCCGCATATACATAATCACATGATCCGAATCTGTTTGAATGCAACTTACGTCCAAATAAAACTTGAATAAGAGTTAGGTTGTAGACTAAACGCCTCATACGACAGATAGGACAAAACGACAAGTACCTCTGTTATGGGACGGCAGTTCGTTATGTTTGCCACCACCTGTTTAATGTCCAGCGCCTGTGGGTAGAGCATGAAAACCGTACGGGGAATTGGCACTCTCCAGTTTTTATCCTCGATTTCCGCCATCTCCGCAAATGTATAGGTTTGTTGGCGTGGAAGACGCGGATGGATGTGTCGACTAGGGATCCGCCGGTCGGAACTTCTGCCTATGCCGCGGCCATCATTAGCAACGTCCACCACGAGTGACAACTCAAAGCTGTTGGTATTAGGCGAGTAAACAAGGTTTTGCCAATCGAGCTTGCAATAACTTGCATTTTTGATCACGGCAGACTCCCTGTAGGTGGAAATCCACCCTATTACATCAACTACATAACAGAGGAGACCTATGGTCATGATGAAGTAGACTATAAGTTTATTTGGGCGCGGAGCGTACTGGAGCATTTTGTTTGACCAACTGGCTATTCACGACTCATTAACGAATTCACGGAAATTTTATAGCATGTTTACTGCGGTACCGCCTGCACTCTGTGTGTCATTCGTTGCGACTTTTGAACCCACCAATCAGCCGTTATGCTTGCGTAAATTGCGGCACAGATTTGACAAATCATTCATACGTGAAGGTACTATTCAAATGCCGATTATCATGTTCATTGTAGATGCGCATTCTGACGTCTTCTATTGCCATTCCATTGGAGATAAAATATTGCCATTACGGTTTTTAGGGGTATACGAATGATTTAAATTTTTACATAGAAAATCTTCGCCAGGGGGTTTAAAACCCTCCAGAGTCCCGTTATCCAGAGGCGTTTAATTTGTTTCCGCATCCCCTAGATTAGGTTCTGGAAGAATGAAAACAAAGATGATGAATACATTTTTCAAAAACAGACAACAATTAATAACGCTATTGCCCCTCTCATGCGGTTAATGTTTAACAAATTAATTTAAAGTGATATTCTGTACAGTCTAGAATTTTACCTTGTACCTCCAATAAGGTGCTAGAACCAATGATGAGGGACCCCAGATCTACTCAAGATCAATCAAACTGCCCGTTCTCATTATTATTTCGACTAAATCTCTGTAGGAGGATAAAAATGGTGCAGCACCTTTACACAACTTCGCTTCATGCACGCTCACAAATTGATTGTGAACCTTTAAGTGTTTGCGCAGACGTACTTGAAGGTGAAATTAGTCATACATTATTTGGGCTAACTCATGACATCTCAAAAGCATTTCCAAAATGCGTTCTCCTTTCGAAAAGGTTAATTAAGTAGGGTTGTAAAAATTATCAGCATGCTGCATAATTCTATAATAATTCACACACTGCACGTGAAAGACAAGTGCCCTGTGAATGAGAATATGCATTAACTTTTGACGGAAACTGCACAGCCGTCGTTATTTTGGCCGACCAACCCTTCCCATATGACCATTTTTGTGGCAGCGGCCATCCTTGGGAGGTAGGAAATGAGAGAATTCCGATTCGTTCAGATCCGCATGACTGAAGTTGAACATGCCAGAAATTTTAAGACAGTTTTGTGCTGAAAATTGTTTCACAGAGTCTGGACGACCATGATTTTTGGACGAGGGACAGTCTTCATGAAGTTTACGGTAGATGTTATATCTCCTTACATGTTTGCGTAAATTTCGTAACATGCTCTTCAAGTGAAAATGTTGCTTAGTTAGGGTTTATATATTAATAATGAGCAGTATAGTCTTACGCAATGTAATCGCGTAATTGCCCAATACTACGAATCCTATATGATAAATTCCAAACGGTATGGATAAGTGTGTAATACCCAATGTTAGAATGTACGCTGCACTTAGCTGAGAAACCCCTGATGAACGCTTAACGGCAGATGGGGCGAAATATCATGCGGGAGTTTAAATCGTTTTCTTAAAGCCGAGATATATTTCCTACTCTAGCAGATAAATTGGGAAAAACAGAGTTTGCCACCAAGTGAGAATATACGTTTGCTGTGGAATATAATTAACTTAGTTAGAACACCGAAAATAGATTAAATAATCAAATTATATTAGTATGCGTTTTTGCAGAGTCGAGGCATTGCCCATAGTCAAAAAGAATCTTTTCAAAAAGAGATTATCCTTGCGTAAATGCACATCCTTAGGGTCATTCTGCATGATAACTAATACTACAACCCCGCTTAAGTAATATTTTGGCAGCCGGAGACATTTACCTGCATTTTGCTAAGTATTTCTTGAGATAGCACATCGGTTATGCACATCGCTCTAGCTAACAGTGATAATGCAATTAAACTATCCGTACTGATGAGTCAAAACTCAATTATCGCATACCTAAAATTAACACTGGCGTAAGCAAAAACAGCCTTACCTATGGCGCAAAACTTTGCTGCTTTTTTAGACGCTAATGCCGTGGCACTCAAAATAACTATTGATAAACGTGCCAAATTTCAAAGTCCTCTCTTGAATTTCCGTGCATCGTTTGCCCGTGCTTGGCTAGTGTCAGAACCATGAAAAAAGCCGGAATTAGGCATTTTTTATCGCTTCTTATCGTTTGCCAAACCGCTCCATGACTACCCAAATCGCACATCTGACCTGAAAAAATGAATATAATTGCAGCGGCTATGCTAACTAATGAAATGTTAACCGGAATTTTGAACCGCGTTTTCGATTCAAAAATATTACTTCAATTGTGTTGTAATACTATTTAAAATGATGCATAAACTTATAATAATTCAGATATCTAAAGATACCGGCTTTCGGACAAACTTCTTTCTTTGCCGCATGCAAACATTTCCCACTTTGAAAAATGACTAGTTAAAGAGCGCAAAATTCCGTCATTGATGTTTGATGCCCTCACCAACTGAAATATATTTCATGAAAAACATGCATTAAGCTATTGCCTCTTATATTTATTTTGCATTAAATTTCTATTTTCTTAAATGTCATACTTTATTTCAGCGTGTAGTTGGGTTTTAAAAGTTCCAAATTCTGAAATTTATAAGACCGTGAATCGTCCGTTCAAAAACATCGCGTCTCTGACTTTATTAATGTGGCTTGTAACTTTAACAAAATGGTTCAAATCAACTACCACATTCTATGAACTCATTAAGGTCCTCTCTTAATACCGTAGAAAAACGTAGGCTTTTCTGCGGCATGTAGTTTGGAAACCAAATTATACGCTTTTCAAGGGATAAAAGTAAATAAGACTTACGTTTCTGCAAAATGAGCAAAAGCGTGATTATTATATACATGTTTTCAACAATTTTAGAAGGGCATGGAGAATCAAGGACAAACTTTCATGCTACATAAATAATTACGTTTTATAAAATGCGGCTTTTTCTTCTGGCCGGAAAAAAAATTATTTGAAAGCTGACATCGTACGAAACTAAATTATTATATAATCGAGCTGAATGATGATTAATTTTCAAGCCATAGTTAAGTTATTTTTCCGAGTCGAAACGCTTGTCGGAATTTTGACAACGATTTCATGAGTTACCATACCAACCGTTGGTAGGGACTTTTACAAAGTTCATTTGTGCATGGTGCTGGTATATCTCATCTCTGTTAGCAAACATCCCGGTCGCCACGAATTCCTGTCAGACTATAAGCTGGAATTTAAAATTTCGTCAACACACTAAATGTGCACATGAAACGCGTATTTCCTTTTGATAACCTGCTTTATTATATAAACAAATACACGGTGATTCTGTGGGCTTTCCTCTTGGACCTCTCTCAGACGATGTCTTCATGAGCAAGTAATAGAACTTTCAGATAAGTGATCAGATAGATATGTTTAAACACCGCGGTCCCCATGTTTATCACACACTTACAACGCCACCAACGTAGCGGACAGAGCTGCCCTCTAAATGCGCAAATCAGCTGCATCCAGAGATCCACTTCACGTTTGAAATAAAAACGGCTGGTTCATTTTATTCATAGATGTCTTTGTGGACAAGTAACCGGACGGTGGACTCCGGCCGACCGGCTCTCGTTAGAAAATCCGGTCTTTTCAATGCACGACTTTCGGTAGTTTCTTGCCCCAACAACAATAACACAATCTAATCCGGTGTTTTGCGCAGCGTTAGGAAAAAATGTGTTCGGCAGACAGCATCCAAGAGCATAGAAGGTTGTAGGACAAGCAACACGAAACCGTATATTCTGGCATGTTTATTGCAAAGAATATTGATAAAAGACTAAAACATTCCGTCACGTTGACCGCCGAAAAGACAACTCTGTTGGTCACAGTCCCTGTACAGGAGAACGATCCGAGAGGACCCCTTGGAAGACACATTATTCAAACTGTCTCAAAAGGCTACGCAGCGGCAAGGATTTGAATATTACTTTGTAATAACTGTATTTTGCGGGAGGAAGTTCAGGACAGGCTTTTATTTCGGACCACTTCAATATACATCTACTAATTCAAAACGCTGGCTTCCATTAAGAAAGGTAGAAGCAGACCATATCAGGTTACGAAAACCGATATTGTGCCTTGCGCCGCATTCCGGAGGTGTAAGGGTTATGGCTACAGGGAATAGTACTAGGGTTTGGTTTAATTTTTGGGAAGCGAGGATAGCTGTTCCTACTGGAATTTAGCGTGAGACCACCTTCCAACCGCACAGTCGTTTAAATTTCTGCGTCTAAATGGTACCTTTTGCAACAGTTGGCTCAGTATGTATCTAGCGTGACAGCAAGTGGTCTGTGTAAATATTAGCTATAACCCAGACGCACGTGTTTTGCCGATCTTATGCCGCTGCCTGAGGCAACTGCGATGAGTTCGGGTCATCAGTGTCTCCCCCCAACTTTCACCGTGTGCTTGCTGGCATACGAAATGCAGTCACAACTGGTCTTTTAAGTTCCGAGGAAATTAATGCGTGAACTTGGGGTAAAACTTTTGGAACAGACGTTTTCAGGCACGGTCCGAAATTTGATATGAATATTTGAATTGAAGTCCATCAGCTACAGCCGAAAAACCGAGTAACATGTACACACCGCCAACGGACATCCAGCGGCATAGAATTGTGTAATTATTTGCCATACTTACAACACAGGTATAAGCTAAAAGCCCAGAAACGCATGTTTCGTCGATCTTGTGCCGCGGTGATGGTTATTGTATTAATGGTAGTAATAGTATTAGTATTATTAATAGTAATGGTAGTAGTAGTTATAGTAGTAGGGATAATAATAATAGTAGTAGTAGTAGTCGTAGTAGTGATAAAAGTATTAGTAGTAGTAGTACTCCTGGCGCTGAAGGAGGAGGAGAAAAAATTCCGCATACGACTACCGGGCCGCATACTTATACGGTTAACTTACATCGATTAAAGGGAAGCTTTAACGGTAGACTTGTCCACGTCAGGCCGTTGTCACGCGCGCTCAACATGCCTCGTCTTTTTGAACACACCATGCATCCGGCTGCTGTTATTAGTACGGTCGCATGTTGGGGGTTTGTAAATACAACGAGATTATTACGAGGTAGCTGATGGATTTTCAGTCAAATAATCGTATCAGATTTTATACCGAGCTTGGAAAGATCTGTTCCGAAGGATTTAGTACAAGTTCGCACATTAATTTCCTCAGAAATCAAGCACAACAAGCAAATAAATTATTTGAGATTTCCCTAGAATAATCTGCTGTTGACGTCGAATTATGTTTATTGATGTTGTCCAATGTCCGTTTGATTCCTATGCGAGCGATAGTTTTGTAGAGCATTACTGACAATGACGACATAGATTAGGAAATGAAGAGAGGAAAACGATGTGCTTGCCTGTGTCTAGATTAAATGCCGCATTTCGAAATTTTAGTTAAGATTTCATGAGTTAGCCCATCTCCGTAATCAAACGTTTACGACAAACCGCCAGCGAAATGTTACATGCTTTGCTAGAGGGACGCTTACCGATAATTCTTACGGAATTGCGAGTGACATTGTGCCTAATAGGCTCTCTCTCAAGCTTAACCGGCACCCGCAAAGAGGCGCAGGATCAGGCAGAATGACATTACAAACAAAGACACGGGAGACTGGAGTAACCACTTCTGGCTTATTAGCCGTCGTCAGTCGGTCATCCCCGACTCCTTGTGGATCGTGTCGATACCTGTTGGTTATAAGTCCAACTCCCAGTGTCTTGATCGGTGAACATCCCTCTACCGTTTCCTATATACCCACTTATAAAAGACATGACAGCGAGCACATGGATCCCTGGTTAAGGCGTCTGACTTCTACGTAATAGGTCGAGTAACCAAGTCCCAGTGGTTAAGCACGGCTGGCTGACAACGGATAATAAGTCAGAAGTGCCCACTCCAGTCCCACGTGTCGGTGTTGGTAACGCTATGCCGCTTTTATTACGTGCCGCAGTGGGGCTACTGGCGGGGTTCGAGAGAGCCCTAAGGCGCAACGCAAATTGTGAGTTCTCAGAGGCGCTCGATGCGCGCCCCTCCACCTTTTATATTAACTTTCAGAGCAAGTGTAAAAAGTCTCTTCCCGAGACAATTGCTCCAAAGTAACAAAATCTAACCCTAATAAAATTTAAAATGCTTGACGAAGTGGAGAGCTGCTTGCTTCAAGTCAAATTTCCAATTTTCTATTTCGAAATTATGCAATTGAAGTTGCCAAGCAAATTTTAACAAGGCACAACTCAGACCGGCGCACTTGGTCGAGTACGACAGCGCTTCTTCTAAGATATCACGCGAGTCCTCGTAGTTAGTTGTATTGTTCTTTCGTGCAGCGGCATTCCAGTCTCAATGTGAGTGTGCAAGATCAAAATTTATAATCAAAGTCCTCGTTTAAAGGCCTGTCATACTTTGTCATCTCAGACAAGACAGGACGCAGCGTATCAATTGTATAAGAGTGCGAGCTCTGATGATACGGCGGATGATAACTGGGACCCTTAAAAGTACTTCGGCAAACATCTAGCAGGACGAACCACCTGTGATGTAATGAACACGATTATCGGCTTCTTATTTGCAAGGGAGGTGGTTTACTGAAGATACGATTCTCGTGTGTTGGTCTCAAATGACTGCAAGGATTTCTAGGATATACATTCAGTCAAACATTGCCAAGGTAGACTGCGTCGTAGTAAGAAGCCCAAAGGGGGTCAAATTCCCGACTGTCGGTTGGTGCACCACTAGCTTTTTTGTGTCAAGGACAGGTTGTGGGATGTCCAGACAGGTAGCGAACTCGACCTCATCTCCAGCCCTCTTAAATGGTAAGCGAGATGAATGGAAAATTGAGATTGCATTCGATGTCAGGCGTCTGTTTCTAAGTGTATTTCGGGTGCTGGCCTAACGTCATTGTTTGCATGGTCACTGAAAACGGAAATACCTAGCCCTCGAGACTGGCGGAGGGGCCGTTTTGTGGTGGCTCCTTCTATAACCCTCGCTGATACCAAATTCCAGTGACTGAGGTCTGGGTCGCGCCGGGTGCTCTGTAAACATTTGCGTGGCAGCGTGACACAACAGTAAAATGTTAGGTAGGCCAGTTCCCTCAAGACCATCTTCGGAGGCCTAAATCTGATTTTCGCATTCAGGAACCGGACTAGGGGAAAATAGTGAAGTAGCTAGTCGAGACGTTTCTCTATCCCAAGTTACATAATCTTGTTCAGAATTAATTCGACATTACTTCTGAATGGTGGTGGTGGTGATGGTGATGGTGGTGGTGGTGGTGGTGGTGGTGGTGGTGGTGGTGGTGGTGGTGGTGGTGGTGTGGTGGTGGTGGTGGTGGTGAAAATGATGATGGTGCGGTTTTGAAGAAGGAGACACGATCGGTGGGACAGGAGTTTTATTAGCCTGACGGGTAAATACTCCGCTAGGCGAAGTGTCAGCACCGAGTATAGAAGGGGAATGCCATTGCATTTTTTAATGGACTGGAGGCCATTAAACCATGACTCAAACAATTCCAAGCCCAAACGGTTGTCACCTCTCGCAAGAATTTCGGCCTCGTCAAATTTGAATGCGTGGCTGGATCTCTTCGAATCGGCCGCCACTTGAGAAATGGCGTCATTTATCCGCACAGATGCAGCGTGTTCGAACATTCGCGTTCGGAATTGTCTTCCGGTTTCTCCGACGTAGTTGCTTTGACCGCAACTTCACCAGATCCGATAAACGACTCCAGGCGTTTCTTGTTGTGGCAGCGGGTCGTTCGACTTCATTATGTGACGCCTGATGGTTGCCCTTGGTCTGTGCGCGACTCCAAAACCAAGTGGTTCGAGAAGGCGGCCGACAGCTTCCGAAACGTTCTTAACATACGGAAGCGCTCGCCAAAATTTGGTGTCCATGCGGTTAGGCCGTTCGTCCCTTTTCCCTATGCACCGGTTGACGAAGTTTCTCGGGTAGCCATTGACTTTAAAGACCCGTCGGAGGTATTTTAGTTCAGCAATTTTGTCGTCCGGCTCACTGCAGTGCATTTCGACACGCCGATATAGCGTCCTTACACAACTGCGTTCGTGGCTGATTTGGTGGTTTCTGTTGAACTTCAGTACTTACATCGAATTTGTCGCTTTACTGAACACATTGGTTTTTAGTCCACTACGATCTTTGCGACACACGAGGACATCCTGGAAGGCCAGCTGGTTGTTCTCTTCCTACTCCATCGTGAATTGTATGTCTGTGGGATGTGGTGGTGGAAATGATGGTGGTTACGTTGGTTATGGTAGGGGCAGTAGAGGTGTTGCTAGAAGTGAGGAAGACGATGAAATTCGACGTGCGACTACCGGGCCGCTTATTTATACTGTAGGCTTATATCAATCTTACTTACGCATCAGAACTCACTCTCCATAACACCAAAAGAAGAATAGAAGCGCAAATCTAAGCCTCATACACCCCAATACACAACAATACTGTGATTTTCGCAAAATGTCTGCACTTCATATTTTAAAAAGATCAAGGTGTAATCAAAGCAAGGCAATTGGAGATCAAGCAGACCCACCTTTATTTTTTAGATAAGGTAAACTGTTCGTTTATGGATAGTCCAGGAAACATGAAACACGACATGTAGAATATGTGGGCTGACTCATGAAAATTGGTTGAAATGCTCTTCTTCTCCTTGCTGCTGACAATACGTGTGCATCCACCAAAGTCAATATGTGCTTCAAATGGTCTTGTTGGCTGCTGGTGCCATCGACTAAATTTCGGGAGTTGAAATAATTTCGCTTTTTATTTTCTGGCATTCATTTCGAACAGTTTCATGCCTACATATGCTTGCGCTTTGTGTCCCAACCACGACTTCTCAATATCACAATTTATGACCCCGCGCATTAGACATATGCTTCTATTTCGTTACAGAATCTATTTTTTGGCAAACAGGTTGAAAGCAGTCCCGAAGTACAACAGGATTAATATTTTCAGCTTGCGTGTTATCGATGTCATCCGCAGTTACCCACCAGTCTTGGGCGGCACTTCCATTGGGCTTAGGAACACGGGTTCAACAGCAGTTAATTCAAAGAATAAGTTTAGTAGTTAGACCATTTAGCATTGTAGTCTGTTCTGTTAACTAGTGCTTTATCTGATGCCAGAAAATGTCTCATAAATCGGGTAAATCAGCGCATTTGCACAGCACATTTATGCCGGTGTTACTTTGCTATGTCTGTCAAATAAAGAAATTGACATTGTCCATCGTGAAGAAGTTTCTGTCCTACCTATCTTTATCAGTATATACGTGTATATATATATATAAGGGCGTCATGAAGGAGTTTTTTTTCTTATGCAAAGACGTGCTTGAATCGTCGCGACAAAGCAGAGTTTCAAGTTTTCTACTCAGGAAACTGAAGCGAACTCGGAATGTCGCTCACGCAAACATTACAATCTCTGCAGGTAGCGTAATTTCCTATATTTGCGTGTACTGTGAGAGTTTCGAAAGCCCTCAACGTATTATATACGCTGTTGGCCAAATAGGTAAATCTCGTCAAACTGATGGGGAATAGGCACATAACATTGCACAGTATTTAATGCAGAAGCATTACCTGCAATGATGAATGACGCAGAAAAGCCCTGTTAGGGCTTAAATGGTATGAGAGTGTCTGCGACTGCTGTTGCTGGCGGTGGTGGTGGCAGTGTTGGTGAACATTGCGATCACCGTTAATTGAGTCATAGGCCACTTCCCATAGAATGATTGCAGAGCATGGCCTATAGGAATGGCGTCCAACAATATGCAATTTGGAAAAAAAATTTTTCGCCGGGTGTTGTCTGAATCAGTCTGCACGCTTCATACCTTGCGAAAATATGCTTCAGATATCAAAATCAGTCCTCATACAAGGAAAGTTCTTCAAACAAGGACAATGTTCAAGCATGAATTTATCTAGCGAAAATTCTTTACTGGCAGTATTAGTCAAAGTGGTCTTGCATTGGTGTATGTAGAACCAAATTGTTCAGGGCAGTGTTCGAGCAACAGACAGCCATCGCGCGGAAGATGGAGGACGCGAGGTCGTTGATGGTAGCTGAAATCCGTGCGACAGAATCACGCGGCCTGATGTAACTTGTGATATAATCTAAGTCTTAAGTCACAATGAGCGTTCTCCAGGTAACTTTCTACGATTTGAACTTTGAATCGGGCGTCGTCTGACAGTATTTTTGGTAACGTCCGACATATCGTACTGCATTGTCATGGGAACCGTCACGAGGAATGAGCCGACCAGAGTTCACTATAGGCAGTCCTACAGAAAAGACCATAAACATGTGCAATGCAGGTTCACGCTCAACGTCTTCAGCACAGACGCACCGATCGCAATCACGACCTGAAAGGTTGAAGACAGGGGAATCAGTCAAAGCAATAGCATCAAAGACGCCAGTTAGTTTGTTTTCGCAGAAAGCGGACATTCCAAATCACCTTAAGGAATGTGTTTGTTCAAATAAATATAAGACCCTTCGACCGGTAGAGGATGCGAATAATCTAAATACACTCTACTGCATCTGAACAAATAGTGATAGAATTGATAGGTATATATTTGATTTGTCAGTAATCAAAGTGCCTTCCGTCGGGACCTGATCGTCTGCGTTTAGTGGAAATTCATTGTAAATTTATTTAAAGCAAATTTATTTTCTTGAATACTCGCACCGTCAATTATCCTATTCCAACCTACTTGCTCAAGCCACGCCGATTAGTGTTCTTCAGTGGGTGATGGGGATCGCGCACTTGTGTCCCACGCGAACAACTATTTTTAATTTATTCTCCCCTTCGCCTGCAGTTCTAGATCTGGCATTTCCACATTGTCGGCTATGTTCGGATGCATTAGATCCCTGGACTTCGGAATGCCTAACAAGTTCCAGACAAGTTGGCTGACCGACAATGGCACAGCTCACACACGCGTTGTCCACGTTGCTCACTACTCTGCCTAGGCGAATAATCACTGCAGACAACTGACGTGAGATGCCAATAGGCTTGTTAATGGACTGTCGAGCAGAGATCCATCGCTCAAGCAGCCCGCGTCTTAAATAGTTGTCGATTCTCATGGGAATTTGTGACCCACCAGATTGGTCGGATTCTTTGGAAGGAGCCACGACGTAGACATCTTGCTTCGTTCATATCACCGATACTGCCTGCACAACCGTCCGTGTCTGATGTAGCCTTTCGGTTTATCCGACACGTCAAAGAACTACGGACGATCGAAGCAATGACAATTAATTCGTTAGGCCGGGGTATGGCCTAAATATCTGCTGACCCAGTTGAGTAGGCTGGGTTCAAGTTTAATTCGTCGAAGCTATCTGCCGCGTAACCAATTGTGTGCTTATACGTGAGCTGGGGAGAATAAGCAACAGGCATTTAGGCTGTAATACAGGTTCCGTAATTTAAATGGTTTAAAAAATTTAAATAGAAGCTCAACTACTTGAAAGACATTGCTTACAATCTGTTTGCTTTTGTTTTCTTCTAATGTAAGCATTGAATTTATTGGGTTTTTGCGGTACGTTTATCAGAAGCTTCACTTTGTAAGATGTTTGTGCCTCACGGAGGTGTCTATTGCACAGATGGCCTTGTTGCCTGATGTCATTTTGTTTTTTTGGGCTCTGTAATTGTTAAAAGAAATTACACGACTATCGCTTCTACGGAATCTGCTTCTTTAGCTCAATCGTCGGCGATTTCGCTCTGCTCCTGGTCAAATATTTTTGAGGGCATTAGCAGATTTGGCAGAAGACAAACAGGCAGCCGCAGTGAGAAATCCTCTCTAGGTGGGTCGGGTACAACGAGATGGCGGTTTTGAGGGGAAGAACGGGCGGGGTAAACGGCAAAGGGCACTGGATTGACAGCCGGATGCCGAAAAATGTTGAAAATCGCAGAAAAATAAATATTTGTTTTAATGAAGTCAAAAATACCGCAGGATGGCGCGCAAATAGGGAAAACCGTAGGCAATGCCCAATCGAAGGAGGGCTGGCCGGGGACGTGATGTGATTGGCGGCCGGGGCGAGTAAACCTGAACCGCCAAGCGGCTAACCAATGGGATCGTAGGCGCCGCACTTGAAAGTGGTGTGCGCAAGGGGGACGTGAGGGGACAGCGGCGTACTGTGGTTGGGTAGGAGTATCTGAATAAACCGCTTATGACAATTGCGTCACTTCCCAGCCCCTTACTGACCCACTCCTCAACCCCTCCGTATTTGTTATATCGGTGATCTCCACGGCATGCACCGTTTAATAAGCATAACGTGACCAATGTTTGAGATACCTGGACGTACTCCAACACCACCGCACCAACCAACAGCAAGTCAGCAAACTCCCGAACTTGGCGGTCGCTGTTTTACGGGATCTGTAAGTATCCATGGTGAGAGCAGTTTGTAGGCCTACGTAACCCTTTTAAGTTTAAATTTATCCGCCGTAACCCAAATTGGGGGACCAGGCGTGGAAGTACAGATAGACGAGACGCTCATAAGTCGCCGCAAATATAACAGGGGACGACCGCGGCGGCAGTTGTGGGTCGTAGGTATGTACGATACACGCAGGCGGAAAGCCCTATTTCAGCAGATTAATAACCGCAGCTGGGAGGCCCTGAGGCCCGTCATAAGGAAGTGGGTGGCTGCTGGTAGTGTTATCGTAACCGATGAGTGGAAG